TGGTTAAAGTTAATTCCTAGGTATTTCATTTTTTGTGGGGCTGTTACAAATGGAGTTGCTTTCCTGATTTCAGCCACACTTTTCTCATTGTTGGCATACAGAAAAACCATTGATTTTTGAGGGTTAATTTTATACCCTGCTACTTTGTCAAAGTTTTGAATCAGCTGGGAGTAGAGTCTGTGGGATTCTTTAAATACAAGATCATGTCAACTGCAAAGAGGGAGAGTTTTACTTCATCTTTCCCTATTCGGATCCCCTTTATGTTTGCATCTTGTCTTATTGCTATAGTTAGGCATTCTAATACTAGATTGAAGAGCAGTGGAGAGAGTGGGCATCCTTGTCTCGTTCCTGAGTTCAGAGGAAATGGCTTTAGTTTTTCACCATTGAGTATAATGCTGGCTGTAGGTTTGTCATATACAGCCTTTATTGTATTGAGGAATGTTCCATGGATTCCTAATTTTTCCAGAGCCTTCATCATAAAGAGGTTGTTGAATCTTGACCTTGACCGTTTTTTTTAATGCACCATAAAAATCCTTTAAGATCATTAATGAAAGGAAGATTAATAAAGGGTGACAAATATATGGTGATAGTTGGATGAAAAACCCCAGGAGAGTTTCTGACATAACTTGGGTAATGTTGTAGGTCAGAGTAACATTTCCAATAATCCATCCCAGCTGGGTTTAAAGTTGCCGCATCCTGCATGACTGAAGTGGCTGGTGAGGTGACGGGCTCTGGGTGACTCAGCATCGCAGCTGATGCTCATGAAGGACCCGTTTATTTTATTTTTAGTTTTTTGAGACAAGGTCTTACTGTGGGCTCCAGGTTGGCTTCAGACTCATCATCTTCCTCCCCCATCCTTCCAAGTATAGGGATTACAGGTGTGAACCATTCCCCCTGGCTCACATGGAGGGTCTGAGGAAGAAATTATTCTGTAGGCTAGAATACATGTGGAGAAAATGATGTTTTATAACCAATGAGACTTGAAGTTTTAAAATACGTATTGCAAATAAATCAATAAGGGTTACAAATAGCAAGTTACCTTTTTTGTCTACATCTGTAAAAGTCAAATGTTCACACTGGCACAAAGCATTGTTTTATGGTGTCCTCTTGGCCAGTTATCTAGGTTAAATGGAAATTCTTCCTGTAGCTCCATTTTAAAATGAATTGTTGGTGTGTGTGTGTGTGTGTGGGGAGATTAAGGGAATGGAAAGTAGAAAAATGAGGGAGGGGATAACAAGTTCCATAAGAAATGTACTCACTACCTTATGTATGTTACTGTCACCCCTCTGTACACAAAATTGACAATAAAATTTAAAAAAAGAAGAAAAGGAGAAGGAAAGGACAGAGGGGTGTCCCTTTCTTCCCCATCCCACCTCTTTTCCTGTCTTTAGTCTTGCTTTGTGGTACCTGGTCTGGGCTGGGGGTTCCAGAGGATGCTAGGCTCTTAGGTCACAGTTGGAAAACCTGTTTTGTTCTTTGAGAGATCTCATTGTTCTGACTGACATTTGCAGTATCTGTGATTTGCTCCCTACTGCATAAGTGTATCCATGGAACATATTCATTTGATCTGTAAGTAGATTTATTATATGAAATATTCATCAGAGCGGGCTTCACAGCACAGCTCTCGGAACAAATGTACTGAGTACAGTTTGTCCTCATAAATCTATTATTGCTGATGGGATTCAGTTGTTGCCTGGCAGCTCAGGGTGATCTGGGATAACGGTGGAGGTAGAGGAGTCTTCCTGCCGGTAGAGCTTGGTCTCCCTGGCCTTGACTGCGGCCACGCTTGTGGCAGGCCCTGCTCATGGGCACACATGCACCTCCCTTCTTTCTGCCCCATTTTGAACAAATTTAGAAGCTTTCCTCTGTAAGCCCTCTGTGATTTCCAGCACCTTGCCTATTCTAGCTCCCAGCATTGGTTTAGAGGTGCAGTGAGCTGGGAGGGAAAAGCTAGCTCATGAGCACTGACCAATCAATGGGATGGGATTCAAGGGATCAGGAGATGAATAGAGATGGTATGCTAAGCCTTAGGATTGACAGCATGTCAGCAACCCCTTGAACTGAATGCTTGTCCTGCACAACCATGGCAGCTGCCATAGGAAGTAGGTTCTATCATTCCTGTCTTACCCATGAAGAGACCCAGGCTCAGCACTTAGTGACACCCAAGTATAGTCTGGTCTCTATGTGACCAGAACTGGGTACGCAGTTGGAGCAGTCACAGTCTGTAAAGCCTCCTGTGGCATGGGGTACAGGAACAGTCTGGGGGGGGGTTGTGGGAGGCTGTGGGAAGGCTGGAGGGGAAAGCTGGGAAACTAGATAGGAGTTTACCAGTCAGATGTGATTGGAGGAAGACAATTATACATATAAGAAAAGCAAGTGCAGATATACAAAGACCTAGGACACAAAGGGGTGGTTGGCAGGGACAAGGCACCTGGTTCAGTGCTGCCCAGTTCTGAGGGAAGGGCTGGGCAGGGAAAGTGGGCAAAGGCATGAATGCAGGCCTCTTGAGCCTGGACAGAGTTCTGGACTGTGAACCAGGTCAGTGGGGAGCCAGCTGAGGTTGGGAAGCGAAGGAGAAAGCAATGAATTTGTATATTTGGAATATAACTATAGGAAGGATAAAAAAAAAAAGCCTGTCAAGAGGCCAGGGCAGGGTCTAGTTGGTGAGAGAGTGAATTGTGTTGGGAAATGGCAGGAACCACCCTCTCTTGCTGTCTCCACCTTGAGAGGCCACAAAAAGAAAAAGTCAAAGTCACAGAGAAGAAAAGCAGCCAGAGGGCTGGGAAAGGTGGCTCAGTGGTAGAGTGCTTGCCTTGCATGCATGAGGCCCTGGGTTCGATTCTTCAGCACCACATAAGCAGAAAAAGCCGGAAGTGGTGCTGTGGCTCAAGTGGTAGAGGGCTAGCCTTGAGCTGAAGAGCTGAGGGACAGAGCCCAGGCCCAGAGTTCAGGCCCACAACCGACAAAAAAAACAAACAAACAAACCTGAAAAGCAGCCAGAGAAGGGGTGAAGGAAAGCAGTGCTGTGGGAAAGATCAAGGTACAAGATTTAGAGTTACTTAAAACAGATTTTAATGAATGACAAGGACCAACCCAGGATGGAAGTTTTCTCATATTAATAGTATTTTAGGACCTTAAGAAGACTTAGGATAAAAGCAAACACATAAATGAAGAGAAATACAGGCTTGGGAGAAATAAGGTATATTGGAAATATTAAGAATGAAAGAAACATAGACCAAACACAGAACCCGAAGTAGAGGAAAGCACATGGGGTTTGCCCCTGTTGCAGGGCTGGGGCCTGACAACCAGGGCTCCAGAGGCCCAATGAGTGCAGGTGGCCTTGGCAGCCTGGGCAGTCAAGAGCAAGGGCAAAAGTGGGTAACCCATCTGTTATGGACATTTTCAGCACCATCCTTTCTCCTGCTGGCAGGAAGGGCCACCATCCGCATGAAGCATGACAGGGGTTCCTATGGCTTCGCCTTTGGCTACTGTCACCTGTTCAGGTGGCTTCTTGGCCTGGAAGCTAATGGTGGTGGAGTAGACAGGTGGGACCTGGAAGGAAGAAGGTCCTTGTCCTGTCAGCTGCCAGGGAATGAGTATCAGGAGGGGGCCGTAGATCTCCTAAGAAGGTGCAGGAAGAAAGAGGAGAGATGCGCTGGCTTCTGGCTTGAGCACTGCTGTGTGGATCTGGCTTCCATGGGGCATGGAGAGCAGCAGGAGAAGCTGCAAGGCAGAAGCGAGCAGAGTGCTCAGCAACACGGTGTTATAGAAGGTAGAGATGGCTGTGGGATGGACTTTGAATCTTCTGGAATAGTGTCAGACAGTAAGCGACCTCACTGTTCCTGAGGCCTCTCATCACTGGCCATGCGATGTCTTGCTGGCTGCTATTAAGGAGAGGATATGTTGTTAGTGGAAAGAAAATGGGATAGTCTGTTTTGACAGGATAACCAACCTCTCTGGTACCTGCTGTCACCATTGTAATTTGGAGGCTGGGACAGTGGTTTCTGTCTAATGGAAGCCCTGTGTCATCACGGGGATTAGAGTAGGGATGTGAGGAAATCTCATCGGTAAAGCTTGGTGCAGCATCTGGTAGTCCCTCCAGATTTCTGAGTACTCTGAGGAAAGTGGTGCCTGGTGATTCCTTGTGCCTCTCACAGCACGTCCAGAGTGCAGGGAATGCTGGAGAAGGTTGGTTGCGGTGGTAGATGAGTTTAGCTCACTAGTGCTGATCAGGGGAAGAGGTCATTTCACTGTTCATTTACAGTCCTGGACAGGAAGGTAGAACCAGGGCATCTTGTAGGCTGTAGCACATACACGATGGCCACTGGGAGCGATGGTGGGCCCTCAGCCATGCCGACGATCCTGAGTTCCAGCACCAGATGCTTTAACATGGCTTTCTGACCCAAAGCACAGAGCTACTTTCCTGGTTGTTGCCCTTGAAGTTCAAAAATATAAAACTACCAGGTGCTGGTGGCTCATGTCTATAATTATGCAGAAGGCTGAGATCTGAGAATCTGCTTTGCAGAAAAGTCCATGAGGTTCTTATTTGCAGTTAACCAGCAAAAAGCCAGAAGTTGAGCAAGAAAGCTAAGGAACAGTGCCTAGTTCCAGAATTCAAATCCCAGTACACACACACACACACACACACACACACACACATACACACACACACACACACACACAGTAGAAAACTAGGAAAACTATTCTCATTCTCTAATCTGCCTTCTTACTATTCTCACTGCATAGCTCTCCTCATGTTGAACATGGTCCCACACCAGCCTCTGTGTCCCTTAACTGACTCACTCTTCCCCATTTCCTTAGCTCACAGTTACTCATCTAGGCCCACCCTCATCTGCTTCTTGGACACTGAGAGGCCCAGTTTTTTTGCTTTGTGTTTTTGCTGTTGTTTTCTTCCTGGGCACAGGAGTATGTTGGGTATCTGGAGCCCAGAGCAAGAGTCACTTGGCTGAGTGTCGGGGCTTTCCTGTTCCCCACTACAGGTTATCTTCCATGATGTGGCCGTGCTGACGGACAAGCTCTTCCCCATCGTGGAGGCCATGCAGAAGCACTTCAGTGCTGGCTCAGGCACCTACTACAGCGACTCCATCTTCTTCCTCTCGGTTGCAATGCATCAGATCATGCCCAAAGGTAACCTCGACTGCCAGAAACAATGGCCCCGAGTGTCCAATTCTGCATGCATATCCCTGTATCCTGCACAGATGCTGCTCTATGTCAGAGGAAGAACTCCACTAGGCAGAGAGGGAGAATGAGCAGCCAGCCATGTCCTATATGCAAACCAAGGGCAGGCCTACCCTGCATTGCATAGGTCCTGGGGTCCAGTCAAGAGGACAGAGTGTGAGCTAAGCAGCTTGCTGCTCCTGGCATAGGGACCTGGGCTATAGCAACTTGGGCTACAGCCCTGACTTTGCACCTTGTTCAGAGGTCCCCTCTGCAAGGTTTAGTTGTTGATCTGTTTGCTTAGTTTGCTAATCCATGACAGATTGGATTAGATAATGTACCACTCAAATTAGTGACCCTGTTCTGTCTGGTTTGAAAAGAGCAAATCTAGATGTGAGAGGTACAAATTATGGACCTTGTAAGACTATTTCTGAAACTCAGCTATACACTAAAAGGATCTTCTAGGCTTCTGTCCCTCCTGGGAAGAAGAGACACAATTATCCTGTATGTGATAGGTGCAATGTGTGAAGAATTACTGGCAGAACTGATCATCCTTGACTGTGAGTTTTGGAGAAGGTTACATGTGTAGTATGCCCCTGGCTTTCAGACTCCCTTCCTAGTGACCCTTGCTTGGTTCTTGGGCCTGGATATCATCCAGTTTCTCATCAGAGTGAACCATGACCGTAGCCTCTTAGGGGTGAGAAGAGGTGTTCTGGGGCCTTAGAATATTTTGTGTGGGTTTGGGGCTTGAACTCTGTCTCCCTGAGCTAGCACTTTACTACTTGAGCCACAGCTCTACTTCTGGCTTTTGGGTGATTCATTAGAGATAACAATCTCACAGACTTAACTGCCTGGGCTGGCTTCAAACTATGATCCTTAGCTCTCAGCTTCCTGAGTAGCTAGGATTACAGGCATGAGCCACCAGCATCTGGCTTTGATTGAATTTTTAGAGAGATTCCACACTAGGCAGGATTTGACCCAGGGTAAAGCCAAACCACTGGTAGAGGCTTGCTGCTCTGGCCCAGCAGATCAGAAGTTTTAACAAAAATCAAGAACCAGCACCTAACAGACCAGAAGGGATAGGTCAGCTGGGAATCAGGAGAATTCACATCACAAGGAAAAATAAGCTGACCTGTCTTGCTGGCAAGTTCAAGCACCTAGCTCTGAGTGGTCTCTTGGTTGTAAGACTAGGGCTCAGGGGGTTTTGTTAAGTTGCCATATTCTCTCCCAGTCCTGTGAGGTAGCAGATAGAACAGATCAAGTAGTTTTGTGACCTGCCTAAGGTTATAGAGCCATTTAAGTGGAAAAGCCAGGATTTGCATCCAAGCCCGTCTGGCTCCTTCTGTCCCATCAGGTGTCCCACATGGGACCTTTTTAGACATGCCTAGTGAGGGTATAGTGCCAGGCTTCAAGAAGGCATGGTTATTGGTTTCCTAGATTCCATGGCTGGCCCTAGCTCTGCAGCTGGCCATGTACATTCCTTTTGCTTTGTCTTTGGACCTCAGTTTCCCCATATATAAAGTGAAGGGCTATCCCGGGCAGTTACCTTCTGCAAATCCAGCATGTGTGGGAATTCCCCTTAGATTGTGTAGTTCTGGGGAGCTGGGGGAATAGTTTGACCCTTATCCCACTCCTAGCTCAGTCTGTGTGTATATCAGATTTTGGTACAGGATTCTGTTTGGTCAAAAGGTTCTATGACTAAGTAAGTTTGAAATAGTTCATCTAGATGGGTCAATGGGCCTGACCATTGTGTTTCATCCTGCATGTGTGATTGGCCTTCCAAGGGATAGCAGAGATCTAGGAGCAAACATGTCAGACTTGCTAGGCCTTACTGCATTTGTCAGCTGCCAGGCCTCTCACTGCTCAGCGGGTGAACTCTAGGCCAGGTTTTTGTTTAGGGTGCCCAGCAGAGGCAAAAAACAGCTCTCTTGCTGTAATCTGCAGGGAACACAAGACGCCTCTGCCCCAAGTTATGGGGAAGCCAGATGGTGAGTCATAAAGCCACTCTGGTCTTTTCCTATTTGCCCTGTGTGGTAGCCTGGCATTGATTAGAGGGCCTTGCCTACAGAGAAGAGGCTTCGGGGACAGCTTTGCTAAGGATGTAAGGCATGGGCCAGGGCCTCCCTGGTGTGCAGGAGGAGGTGGAAAGAGGTGTTTTGACATAAACATCCCATCTTTTCTCAGGCTCTTTACTGGGATGATAATATACTTCCAGAGATTCCTTTTTGCATATGGCCAAGGTCTATTTCCCAAGGAAAGAGTTGTTAGGAGTTACCACAACTTGATAGTCACAAAATGAGCTGAGCAGTACTGCTGTTTCCTGTGGCGTCCGGGGTGTTTTCTGTTAGGAAATCTGGCTGCTGCTCAATCCTTGGTGCTGTTGTCCCCACTGGGCAGGTCATTTGGAATCCCTGCAACTTTCAGAAGAACACTTTGTTTTCAGACATCATTAGCACTGTCTTGAGTTGGTCGTGGTTCTTTATTGCTGTCTTCTGTGTTTATTTTTTTTTTAATTATAGAAATTACTGTTGTTTTGTGCTTTGGTTGATGCTTTGTTCTTGTATAATTGCTATATTCTTGCTCATTTGGTTATTTCATTTTCTTTTCCTGGCTCTTGTTTTCTTTTTCTTTCTTTCTTTTTTTTTTTCATTTTGGCTTCCTTTTTGCTCCAGGAAAGTACGGATGGAATGGGAGGGGCCTGAGCCTATGACCCAACCTGGGAAGGCTGATTGTGATGTTTATAAAGTTGTGACTCTAGATGTGGTGACTAGGGTTCCAGAAATATACGATATTTTCCTATATCTGAACATCTGTCCCCTTCCCTTTCTGTAGAATACTGGTCACTGTTCTGTGGCTAAACTACTGTTTCTCTCCTCAGTTCCTCCTTGGTGTAAGTGGGGCTAATCAGGGCTTTGTAAATGCCAGACCATGTTCTACTTGAGCTATATCCTCAGGTCTGTTTGATTCTTCGTTTTCTATTTTAAAAGTAACAGCCAGGTGTTAGTGGCTTATACCTGTAATCCTAGCTACTCAGGAAGCTGAGATCCAAGGATTATGGTTCAAAGGTAGCCCAGGCAGAAGAGTCTGTGAAACTCTTAAATCCAATTAACCATTAAAAAGAAAATGTTTACATATGGATACAAGTTGACCATTGTAACAATGAGATGTACAAGACACTTTTGAACATTGAACTTTACAATTTAGGTGGCGGGGGTGGAGGGGGTATAGTTGTGGAAATGGGGGTGAAGGGATGGTAGGGGAAAAACAAAGGAGGAGGCAACAATGCTTGATAAGAAATGTACTCATTACCTTGCTCATGTAACTGTAACCCCTCTGTACAGTAT